TTGCTAAAAAAATCAAAAATTATTCTATTGTGTTTGTTATCCAATAGTCTTGCATCCTTTTATGTTATTTGATCATTTTTATTTGCATCACATTGCTAAAAAAATCATTTCATTATGTTTGTTATCTAATAGTCTTGCATCCTTCTATGTTATTTGATTATTTTCATTTGCATCACATCACCTCATCACATTGCTAAAAAAAAAATCATTTCATTGTGTTTGTTATTTAATAATCTTGCATCCTTCTATGTTATTTGATCATTTTTATTTGCATTACATCACCTCATCACATTGCTAAAAAAAATCAAAAAAATTATTTTATTGTATTTGTTATCCAATAGTCTTACATTTAATCATATCTTGTTGTGTCAGGGGCAATTAGGTCTTTTCATAGGTATCGCATGGCCGACCAAAATACATGTTCTATTTTTATTTGTCACTTATATAAGAATTCAAAAATACACTTTTTCATATACTTACATAAAAAATAAGTAAAGAGGGGCAACTGTAAATACTATATTTTATCCGGACATTTAATAAATTCAACCAAAAAATATAAAAATAAAATTTAATCCTTTTTAGGATTATATTTTCAAAATAAAAATTTTTTAATTAATAGGATTTAATTTTAGATAATTTTTTGTTGGTTAGGATTTTAGTTTTTTTAGTTCAAAAGAAAAAACAAAAAAATATAAAAATACAAAAATAAAATTTAATCCTTTTTAGGATTATATTTTCAAAAAATATTTGTTTAATCCAAAATCAGATTTTTAAGTCCCTTAATCTAATTTTTAAAATTACTAAACATAATTAAAAAAAGAGTTATTAAAAATTAAAATATATAAACTAAGTTCGGTCCTTCGTTCGTGTGTCATGCACACTACAGCACAAAAAAAAGAAGAAAAAAAAGAAGCAGCACACACAAAACACAGAAGGAGAGCGGAGAGCAGAGTAGACACAGACACACAAACACTTTCGATCAGACCAGATGGAAGGGAGTAGAAGAATTTAACCATTAGATTTGGTCCTTCGTTCGTGTGTCATGCACGTTACAGCACAAAGAAAAAAAAAAAAACACAGAAGAAGCACACACAGTCACGAAACGCCAGAAAGAAAAAAAAAAAGATCAGACTTGCGAACACGCGAACAACAACTAGAGTGATAGAGAGCGAAAAGGCAAAAACAGATACAGAGAAAAGAGAAAGCAGACTTGGCCACATGCAAAAGAAAAGCAGACGAAAACACAGAGGAAGACAACAAAAAAGTTTCACTTTGCAGGGGAAACACATGAACGTTACAGAAAGAAAGAAAAATAGAGCAGACGCAAACACTGGACATGCACATGCGAATAAAAACAGAGCATAAAAAGAAAAGGAGGAAGGGAAGAGAGAAAACTGGAGAAGGAGAGGACCTGATTTTTGGCTCCTAGAGGCGAGAACGAACGAAAGAAAAGGGGTTGGAGTCGAGAAAGAGCACAGACGAGAATAAAAATAGAGCACAAAAGAAGCAAGAGAGAGACGGAGAGGAGGAGAGGAGACTAAGAGAACTGGAGGGAGTCTGAAAGGGGAAGAATGGACGAGAGAGGGTGGACAACGAGAAGGAGATGGAGAGTGAGTGGCGAGAAGGGGACCAAGAGTAAGAGAGCACCGAAAACAAGGAGAAGAGAAACTAAAAAAAACAGAGCAGTGAGAGCAAGAGAGAAAACTGGACGAAAACAAGAGGGCAAAAAAAAAAAAAAATGCAGCAGTGAGAGCAACAGAGAAAACTGGACGAAAATAAGAGAGCAGAGGCATAAACGCAGCAGTGAGAGCGAGAGAGAAAACAGACGGTTTAATAAGCAACAGATTTAACTAGTCATATGGACTTATATTTTTAATTAACTATATATATTACTTGTTAAATTTATATTTTTATGTTACAACTAGAAGAAGGATATTTTATTTTGGAATTTTATTTCAATTCATACCAAATATCCTGCAGTAGAATTTTAAATGTTATTGGATGAGATTTGAAAATATATCACATATACACTCCTTAGATGAAATTCTTCGGAGAAAAATTGCCCTATAAACCCAATACAATTTGATAAAGCTTTGCAAGCATGGAGGACTCATTTACAATATAATTAATTTCTAAAGTGAAATAATGAACTATATATCCTTAGTGACTGATAATAAAAACCTCACCAAAATAACAAAAACATTTGTTTATTTGATTTTATTTAATTTTTACTAAAATTTTAAACTATTCAATTAAAGTTTAAACAGCATTGTGAAGTTAATTATTTTTTTAATTTAATATTAAATAATAATTTTATAAGAAATTACTATGTCATTCCTACATATAAAATGTTTTTATCTGAATCACACAAATCAATAAAAGTTGATTATTTACTAAAAAGCACAATAGCACTTCAATTTTGTTCCTAATTATTATAAATAAAAATTAATATATTTTTTTAAAATAAATTAATAAGAGTATTTATCTTTTTCTCTTTCCAATGTAATAATAGTATAATGATCTATTTATTAAAAAATATGCTAATAATCTCTTATATTTAGAAAGAAAGAAAAAATTTTAAAATTTTTTTTTACATATGAGAACGAAGGGAGTGAATCTCAACCGTTTAAATGTTGATTTAATAATTATTAAAAAGAGAGAGTGAGAGAGTGGAAGAGGATATGCGAAGGGAAGAGAAGAGAAACCTCGCCGTCCTATCCAATTATCCCTTATCAGTATTTCCATTGGCTAACTTGATGAAACTAAAATGCCGCACCAAACCAATTATTTTGTAACCTCCAGTGACATGTGTGGTTCAACTCCACTTATAACTTTATGTTAGTACTATAATTAAAAAAGAGTCAAAGGACAATTTAACTTTTAAATTATAGGTTAAAAAGTATTTACGATTTTAAATTTATATTTTATATAATATTCTCTATCAATTTTTGAAAATAATGTAATATAATTTTTATTATTAATAAAAATTAACTTTGCCTGATAGTTCATTAGAAAGTGATAAAAAAATAAAAATTTATAAAAAAGGTATTCAAAATTTATAAACAAGGACCCAAAAATTATTAAAGGGACAAAAAAAATTCTTAGTTATTTTCTTTCATTTTATAGTCAACTAATGATAAAAGTTAAAAGTTATTACATGTTTTTAAAAGTTGAAGTCGTTCCATATCAAAACAAATTTAGGATCTTTAACACTAAAAGTGAAAATTAGGATGGGCTCGACCCTCAAGAGTCTAGCCCTCATGAGCTTGACTCTTAAAGGCTCAAGCCTTAAAGCTCGGTCATTCAAAATGTAACTTAATTTTGAGGCTTGACCCTTATTTAAAAGACCCAGAGTCTGGTCTTTAAATCCTTTTTAATAAAGAAGTTAATATTTTAATTTAAATAAAATATTTTAAAATTCAACATAAAATAAATTAAAGACTCACATAAAATTCGACAAAGATTTAAAATTTTAAATTTAAAATGAAGATTAAAATATTTATCAATATAAATCTAAATCCTCCTTCTCATCTAAAAATAAAATATTAAATCCTTTAGATGTAAATCTACTTGTTGAAAATGGAGGTAGAGATTCAATATTAAATATCTCTGCAACTTCTTGTTTATTACCTACAATAAATATTAATCAAATTATATCATTATCAATTAAATATGTGTGTGTGTGTAAAATAATCAGGCTTGAAGGGCCACCGAGCTTGAACCATTTTTTACAGGACTTATCAAGGTTAGGTCTTTAAGTCTAATTATTTTTTAAAAAATTAATTTTTAAAATTCAAACCCTTATTTAAATAGGACCTTTAAGTCTGACCCTTTAAACTCGACCTTTATTTTTGACTCTACTCAACACTCTTAAATAGCTAGACTTATAATTTGAAGATCAAATTACTATTTAACCTTTAAAAAGGGAAAATAACTCTAAAGTCCCACCTAAATACCGTAGAGTGCCACCAATTTTATAAATTATTGTGAAGTCTCTTGGGTCAAATTAATTTTTATGTGCATTTACCTAAATACCCTCCTTAAGGGGGGAAAAAAAAAAGAAAACTCCCCACTGCTATGGTACAAAACTTTGTGCAGGCCCAGTTGTTTCTTGGGTTACTGTCGAAGCCCTTTTGAGTAGTTTTAATGGCGGGAGGGGCAAAAGCTCTTCTTCGATTGAAATACTTGTGAAGCATATCCTACTTGCTCTTGTTATCCAAGATGCTGTCAAAGAAATCGCTGGATCCTTATCACTGCAGAACAATACACTCCTGCGAACCAGCCACCATGGCCGGGTGGGAACTCGGGTTAATTAACTGCAGCAGCTTCCTGGAGATATGAGGTTCAATATCTTCCACCTTATCAGAGGCATTAACGGCCGAGAAAACCATAGCATTGATTTTTTGAAACCTCTCTTCGAAGAGGGAGACCTCTACGAGAAGGCTCCAAGCATTCGCTTCAGATGCTTCATCATAAACGCCATAGCCAAGCTTCGTTTTCGTCGGCACGGTGGTTGGTGGAAGAAGAAGAAGACGACGACGAAGAAGAAGGTATTCGAATGAAAAGGTACACCCACATAACAGCACAGACATTACCAGAAGCCCACCATGAAGAGGTACGAGATTCTCTTGACGCGAGCGAACCACTTGGCGACCGGAGAAACACCCACATCAATTTTGAGTTCCTTTTGCGCCCCACCCCCCCCCCCAAGATACAGTGATAGATCCCTCTCTTTTTTTCTCTCTCTGAAACCTGAGAAGGTGGCGTCGAAGGTATGGAAATGGAAGAGGGTGAATTATTTGAGATTGGGATTAAGGGAGGAAACCCGGGTGGAGGAGTTTTTTTTTTTAAATTTTTTTTCAAAGAAGGGTATTTTGGTAAATATACATAAGAATTAATTACATCTAAACATCTCAAGAATTTAGAGTATTTTGTGTTGCTTGGAGTTATTGTCGAAAAAGTAAATGCACCCGGCCCCACCGATGTCAGAATAGATAACCCATGTCGTATGAGCCAGTAACCATTGGTGTTGCCTGTACGGCTGTGCCTTTTGGTAGCACAGCAGAAAAAGAAGTTATCTACCTTCCCTTTGAGGTAGGAGGAAGACAGAAAGAAAATGGAAAGCAATACAGGAAATGGAAAGGCGGTGTGCGTGACTGGTGCTTCTGGGTTTGTTGCTTCATGGCTCGTCAAGCTTCTTCTTCTTCGTGGTTACACTGTCAAGGCCACTGTTCGCGACCCAAGTGAGTTCTTCTCCTTTATTTCATTTTTGGCCTCAAACACATCGTCCTGGCAAAAACAAGCTGAGATAGATAATGCTCCAAATATCAGCCCTTAGACTGATCTAAATGTCGCTATATATATTAATGGCACATCGTTCAAACTGTGTTTTGCTCTTTTAAGGAGTGTTTGTTTCTCAGGAACTTTGTGCAGATTTTGCCCAAAAATTAACTTTCAAAATCAGGGGTTCGTTGTAAGGAATCTGGTAAACAAATTAAACCGGTCTTGGAATAGATGAAAGAAACTTAGAAGAAGTTTGATCTGAGTGACGTGGCATTATAGTGATAGTTAGATGAATCTAAGGGCTAAATTTGAAGAGTAGCATCTCTCTGCTCTTGCAGCGGGTGCTTGGCCTCTTCCCTATCTCTGCCTCCTATCCCTTGGGTTATCAACTAACCCTGAAGTTGTTCCGCATTCTCATCATCTTTTGGCACATACTGCCCTTCCATTTCATGTGAAACTATATCTTCTATTTATTTAAATTAATTTTTTGAATATTTTTTAATATTATATTCATTGAGATAAAAATTTATAAAAATTTTAGTATTAGATATGGATGGTTCTAAATACATTTAAATAGTGAGTTTATAAAATATTGAAAATTTTAATTTAATATTATAGTGGATTGTTCAATCTATACTATCCATAGTATATTTAGATATTTCATTTGTAAAAATTATTAAAAAAATTAATATTAAATTAAACAATCCAAATTAAAGTTGCAAAAAAGTTTTAAATTTTGAGTGGTTCAAATCTTGTCAGAAGTGATGAGTACCCTTATCAGCATCAAAGACAATCCAAATTTAATATTAAAATTTTTTATATTTTTTATAAACTTTTATTTTAACAAATACATATTAAAACTACCTAAAAAATCAATTTAAACGAATGGCACATATCATTTCAAAGTGAAATGGAAGTTCATGTAAAGGAATATTCAATCCTATATTTAAATCTTCTGAAATTACTTTGCATAAAAGGTGTCTTATGTAAAGGAATATTCAATCCTATATTTTATTCTTTCATAATTGTTTTAGAAATAAAGTTAAAAAATAACTATGCGAGGAAAATGTTTCTAAAAATGATTTATTCCATCTGGATTAAGCATTGGTAATTACTTCATGTTCTAAAAGAAGTTACTTCAAACACCAATATCTTTAAAAAGTTTAATCTTGTCAATTATACTCTCATTTCATACCTTATAGAAGTGCCTTGATAATGATGAATCATTTTTTTTAAAAAAAAGAGTAATAAATGAAATAGGAGTGTAATTGGAAAAAAAAAATTATGAAAATTATTCGATATCCTATATTTTGGATCAAATAAGATGTCTATAATGTCATAGATTGTGGTACGGAAGAAAATAAGGATAATTTGAGAAATTTCTTTCTTTTTCAAATGATATAAATAATTTAATTACCTTTTATTAGTTCTTGTGGTAGCTAATTAGAAACAACTTATATATAACATTGGAAGGAGTATTCACCTGCCCAAAAATTACCTGACTTGTTAATTTACCAATGTCAGTTATAAATTATCTGACTTTACTTGTCAATAATCATACTAATATCAGTTATTAATTATCTAACTTTTACTTATTACTTCACTAATATCAATTGTAAATTACATGATTTGTCAATAATCATACCACTTTAATCATTTTGTCCTAATTATAGAATCATTAGTTGTTAATTCTCAATCTTTACTAATTAATTTATCAATATTAGTTGTCAATCATTTGTTTCTTAATTCCTTTTGCAAAAGCGTATTTTGATCTTTTCAGCGACTCATTTTATTTCAATTTAGTCCACAAATCTTTCAGAGAATTTTCAAATTTTTTAGGACCTATTTGGTAAATATCTCTCTTTCATGGTCCTTAACTAAAATTCTCCCAAATTTTATTTCTTAGCATCTCTTCTTGTCACTTTCACATGAAACATTGTCTTTTATATATCTCTTGTTCTATACAATTTTCTGTGACTAATTTTTTGATGGTTTATCACTTTCCACAGCTGATCCTAAAAAGATAGAACACTTGCTTGAACTAGAAGGAGCGAAGGAGAGATTGCATCTGATTAGAGCAAATCTCTTGGAAGAAGGTTCCTTTGATTATGCTGTTGAAGGGTGTGAGGGTGTCTTTCATACTGCATCTCCTGTTTCTATTGATGTCAAAGACCCTCAGGTTCATACATATATCACTCTAAAACATCATTAGCAATACATCCAAACAAAGTGGTAAATAAATCCTTTTCAGGGTTAAATGCTCTCATATTTTTGTGAAATCCATATAGAAATTAATAGCATTAATAGTTTCACCTATTAACATGCGTCCATGATATTTTTCATAATCATATATCAATAACAACAAACCTTGTCCTACTAATTAAGCAAGGTCAATTATATGGATTGCATGACGTTATTGTGCTCCATCAACAACTAAGTCTTTGGGTATATTGTTAACCAAAAGGTTTCATTCAACAACTCTTTTGAGTGCTCTCTTCAATCATCCTGCCTTCTTTATAGGACCGAAGACTATTTATTCTACTCTTCTCACTGGTATCTTTTGCGACATTCTCTATATATATCCAAACCATTTTAAATGATTTTGAACCATATTTTCTTCAATGGATGCTACATCCACTTTTGTGATATACGCTCTTTAAGGATTTTATCTTTTCATACTTCTTAATATTTTGTTCATTATGATATGTGGTAGGTGTAGTGTGTGGATTTTTGTTACCTACTTTAGTTGTGTAAATTTTTGTAAGCTTATAATATGAACATACAATCTTTCTACAAGCTTACAAAAGTGAAGAGCTTGACAAACTAAATAATTGCTTCTTCTAAGAGTTGCTTTCTTGATTTTAGACTGAACTCGTTGACCCAGCGGTCAAGGGAACTCTCAATGTTCTCAAGTCATGTGCAAAATCGCCATCTGTGAAACGAGTTGTTCTAACATCTTCCATGGCTGCAGTTTTATACAGTGGAAAGCCTAAGACTCCTGAAGTTATAGTTGATGAGACATGGTTTTCGGATCCAGAATTTTGTTATGAATCTGAGGTATGTATACATGAGCTATTATGTCAAATTAAACTTACACTGAAACACTTTTGTAATCAACTTGTAATTAATAAATATTGCCTCTATGAGTGTTGTGAATCCCATTGAAATTAAGTCTGTTGAAAATTATATTTGTGAGAATGATAATTAAGTCTCAAAAGAGTGAATGTTTATACTTTTTAAAAAATACTTTTTAAAAAATATTAAGAGTGAATAAAAGTTAGTTTCATGACAATATTTTTTAAAAAATATTTTATAAATATTAATTCTAGTAGTTACAAATTTTAAAGTTTCAATTGCAAAGAAAATGTTTATACTTTAAAAGTAACAATCAATTTGCAATTGAAATTTATTTTTGTAACTGTCTGGATCAATATTTATTCTCTCTTTTAAGATTTTATTGTCATTCTCCCACCTTATTTAGCATGAATACCATGTACTTTTTCCCCCTAATATGATTTGGTAGTCTTGAGATCATGCACTTGTAATTAATTATGATGTAGATATTGCTTGTTAGTTGCTAAAATCGCTGAAAACATAGTTCAGTACTTTCATCATCTCATGAATACAATGCTTGTGTGAATTAAGAGAAAGGGTGAGGTGAGAATCACACGAGGCAAAGGTTGATCCAACATATCCTTTTTCTTTTTACCCTGTCATCTCTCTTGAAATGTTCTTAAGGTGATGGTGTGTACTTGTGTTTGTTTATATTTTATCTCTCAGAGCTGGTCAGGATATGCACTTTCCAAGATTTTGGCTGAAGAAGCTGCTTGGAAATTTGTAAAAGAGAACAACATTGACATGGTTACTATCAATCCGGGTGGTGTTATTGGGCCTCTCTTGCAACCTACTCTTAACACAAGTTCTATCGCAGTTATAATTCTATTTAATGGTAATTTTACTTAACTACTTCCATCAGATCTCAGGAAGAAAAAAAAAGTTGAAACCTTGATTTCTAAAAAAAAAAAAAAATTTACATCTTTTCCATTAAACCCTTGTTTCCTAGAAAGAGTAGTAATAAACAAAAAAAATAAGGGTATGGTTGAAAAAATAATTATAAAAACTACCTATGCCTTATATTTTGGACCAAGTAAGGATTACAGAAGATGTTCTAGATTGTGGTCTGAAAGAAATAATTACCTTTGGTACCCTCAAAGTGAGTATGTTGATACATACTCCTTCTGATCCATTTCTTAGTCACATTATATTATATTCTAGAAGATCACATTGATCTTTAATGCAGGTCATCTTCAATTGTTTTATGCAATCTTTGATGTACAATTCCGAGACGTACCCTCTTACAATTTTTGTAAAGAATTGCAACATTTCAATTCTCAAGAAAACTCAAATGACATATCAAATCACTCTTATTTTAATTTACAAGCAAAAATGGAAAGTAGAGGGTCTACTTTAACTCTTGTTTTGGAACCTGGACAAGAATTATGATGTTGATTCTTATCATGACTCTTTCCTTCTTGCTTGATGTAGGCGCAAAAACATTTCCAAATTTTACTTTACCGAGTGTCCATGTGAAAGATACTGCGAATGCTCATATTCAGGCATTTGAAATTCCTTCAGCGAGTGGAAGGTATTGTTTGGTTGAATCAGTGAAACACTACGCAGAAATTGTGAAGATTTTGCATGATATGTACCCAAAATTACAGCTTCCAGATAAGTAAGTTTAATTAACTTCTATAATTTTTTAAAATTCATATATTTAAGATGTTTCTCCCTGATGTTTTTACAGCTGATCTCTAATTCCTATAATGTTAAAAATTACACTATCCGTCATTTCTCTGCTTCAATTATTTCCTAGTAAATTATGTGAGATGATGTTGTCTATTCAAGCATGTAGAGCCAGTTAATGCAGGTTTTTCATTTTACATTAGCCTAAATAAATTTACTGGTAAAAATCTGAGCATGATTGAGCAGTCATTTGTTAGTAATTCTTTTCCCCTCTGACAGTTCTAAGCAACACAAGATATATTATATTTGTTGTCAATTGTAAAAGTTGGATTATCTTAGTTCAACTGACAAGGAAATTATATCAACATAACTAGAGATCTTGAGTTCGAGTCCTTATTCACCTAGTGGGATAAAGCTTCTTTATATTGTTGTAAGAGCTGGATTAATTTATTTCCTTTAAGGGGTAAAAGCATGTTTGTATAGATCACATAGTTTCTAATCTAGTTCGTTCAGAGGGTCAAATAATATGGTACAGCAGAACCCAGATTCCAATGAAAACCGATTTGCATTTTGAATGCAAATTGTAAAGAAATGTAGTTATTAGTGAGTACTTGTAGTTCTCCAAGCCATCATTTACGATTCAAAAGATTTGTTTCTTTTATATTGGTCTATACATGATTTCTCATAGATGAATTATTATTCACAACTTATAAATTATTTGACTGGTTGTAGATTTTTTTTATTTTATATTAATTAATATTGATATAGAATTTTTTTTATAACAAATATACAATCAAACATAAAAAAATGAGTAGCATAAGAAATTGAGACCATGGCCAGTACGACAACACTTTTATGGCGAAGTAGCATTGAAGCTCCTCTATAAATGAAAAGTTGGTGTTTTTGAATTGAGTTGAATGGAGAAAAGAAAAGAAAATAAGAAAAAAAAGAGCAAATTGGTCCCTAAACTATTGTTAGATCTAAAAGTGTGAGAAACTTTACACTTATTTTTTGTGTAACATTATTCCCTTTAAACTTTTAAAAATCATATAATTTGGCCTCTACCATTAACAAAAGTTAACTTTGACCATTAATTAATAAGAAAATGATAGAAAAAGACTTAAAAAATTAGAGAAAAAGAATAATGAAATTTTTTTGGTTCTTCTCTAATTTTTTTGGGTGCCTGTAACTTTTGGATCTTACTTGTTTTGCCCTTTCTCTATAATTTTTTAGGTTATTTTCTATTATTTTCTAATCAACTAATAGTTAAAGTTAATTTTTGTTAATAATGAGAGTTAGATTGTACCATTTTCAAAAGCTGAAAGGGAGCATTGCTTTAAATTTTTGGATAATGAACTGATTATAAATAATCCTTCAAATTAAATCATATTGGATCTCTCTCACTTATCAGTTCTGTTAATTCTGTATATTTGGCCATATATTTATGATCAAGTTCTAGATTTTGTTTATGATAGTATTTAATTTGCTCATTTCTTTTCTCACTTTCTCAATTAATTTATCAGATGTGCGGATGATAAACCCTTCGCGTCAACCTTCCAGGTTTCCAAAGAAAAGGTAAAGACATTGGGAATTGAGTTCATTCCATTTGAAGTTGGACTTAGAGAGATAGTGGAAAGCTTTAAAGAAAAGAAATTTGTTGACTTTTAATAAATCATAACCTATTTTAAGTAAGAATATATTTATAGATAAATGTGATTATATCAAAATCATGTTTTAAGTTGTCCAATCTAGTTTCAAAAACAAACTCTTTCTCATTGTAATAATCTAAACTATGTCTATGAAGACATTATTGATGTTATGTGATGAATTCTTTTTGGGTGAGCAACTTCTATTTAAAACATGATGTTACAACTATTATTACTATTGTTGCTGCTGCGGCTATGACCTTCTTCCATATATATATGAAAACTCTCTATTTGTTTCAAAACATTTAATTGTCCATCTCGCTCGTTACATAGCCTTAACTGCGACCCCATAGTCATCGATTATGTATTAAAACTTTTAGACTAAAATGCTAAAATGTCCTCGTAAGCAATGATTCTAGGAAATTTTCTTCCTCTTTTTCTAATGGGGGGCAAGGTTTAGCTACAAAATTTTTTGTAACCTTTTTCTAAAACATGGCTTCAAACATTTAGAAAGAGGATGTTGGTTTTGGAGTCGAGCAATTAGCAAGCCTAGCTTATGTGTCTTTTCTTTGTTTGACCCATATAGGCTCAAATTCTAAAGCCCTTTATTTTAATAATTTTTTGAAGTTTGATTCTGATTGATTGGGGTTAAGGCTAGATCCAGATGTAGTTCAAACAAATGTTAACGATTAAAATAATAGAAATTGAAATTAAAGGATTGAGTCGATAGAACCTCCAAACATAAAAAATTAAAAGTTATTTTAACCCAACAAAAATAACACAAATTCTTGTTTATATATAAAAGATAGAATTTATTTTTTGAATGCGTTATCATAGAGTGGATTATGACTAGATGTCAAGATCATAAATTTATGACCTTGACATAGGGATTTAAAATAGATGGATGATTTTTATTAGGTTAAAGTATACTTTTGGTTTTCTAATTTTATATAAGATTTCAATTTAATTTTTAAATTTTATAAAGTATTTTTATAGTCTTTTAACCCTAACATTATTAGTTTTAAATGATTATTTTTTATATCAATTATGGTTATTTTAAAAAAATTGAACTTAATATATCAATATTTGAGAATATTTTGTCAACATTTGAAAGTTCAATATTAAAATTTGTTAGGATAAAACTAACAGTGTTAGGTAAAAAGACTAAAAAGATATTTTATAAAATTAAGGGACTAAAATAAAATATTGTATAAAGTTAAAGGATTAAATTTATACTTTAGCCTTCTCATTATAAGACATTTGATGATGTAATAATTAATTTTTTTAATATTAACCGTATTTAAAGTTATTAACTATGAAAGTGAATATAATGTAAATATGAAAAATTTTATTTAAATTCACGTTAAATAAAAAGTTTATTCTATTTTTAGACAAAATTAATGATTTAACCACATTTTTTTTGTTTTAGTAAAGTATTTAGAGATGCTTTGTATTATCTCCATTCCAAATTATAAAACAATTTTAGAAGTGACTTAGTGTCCCAAAATATAAAATAATTTTAAAAAAATAAGGTTTTATTAAATGTACTTTTCCTATATAACTCTAGAAGAATAACAGTTAAGTCTAAAAAAAAAATTAATGATGGTTAGGTTCCCAAATTTTTTTTAAAAAAATTAGTTCTAAATATCAATTCAAACAATTGCAAATTTAAAAATTTTAATTATAAATATGATATTTAAATTATAAATATAACAATTAGTTTTCAATTTAGATTCCTCTTTATAATTGTTTGAATTGATATTTATAATTTATTTTATAAAAAAATTTATTAAGAACTTAATTATCATTAATTCATCCTTTATTATCATACTCCCTAACTCTTCTCTCCTTATATTAAATCAAGATTTAAGGTTGTACTATAAACAAAGGATATTATGAGAAATTTATATTTTTATTTTAAAAAATAAAATTATAAAATATATCTAATAAATTTTATTAATATATATATATATAACTTTATCTAAATTTATCTTATAAATTGCGAAGTAGCAAGGTGGGGGTAATGGAGACTAGAGTGGGAATGCTTTTATCCGTCATTATTTTCAACTGCGTACCTAAATGCATGAATGTAATAAATACATTGATTTTTTTCAGGGTCAAGTACTTGTAACTAATGTTACGAAAATGAATTTTGACAAACTTAGTACTCCCTTCTACCCTATAAAATATAAGTATCTTTTAATAATAGTTCATGTATCAATAAAACTTTATATTTTCATAAAAATATATAGAACAAAGGAATAAAAATATCCATCAAGTAAATAATCAGGAGTATCCAATAATCTAAAGTGAAAAAAAATAAAAAATACTCATAATATTATATAAGTTAGTATAAAAGTGATCCATCCGTCTAATTACCTCACCAGAACTAATGAGAGAGAATTAAGTTATTAATTTTATCTAAAAATATAACAAACTTTTAATTTTATCCTTATTTAAATAAAAAATTTTAAAATTTACATTACATTTTATTTCATAATTAATGAGTTTAAATAAAAAATATTTAAAAAATATAATTAATGTCTATCAAGTGTCTTGTATTAAAAACAAAAAGATATTTTTAAAAAGTGTAGGTCCTGTAATAGGGATTAAAACAATATTTTATTTAAAATAAAATTAATAATTTAATCATATTTTTATAATTTTGATGAAGTGATTAGAAATGCCTTTGACATGAGATCAGAGTAAAATGTTTTTATCCGTCATTATCTTCAAATACCTAAATTCATGAATGTAATAAGTACATTGAATTTTTTTAGGGTAGCAAGTACTTGTAATAAATGTTACGAAAACGAATGTCGACAAATTTACTGTAATTAATAGAGAATCCTGTGTTTAATTTATTGCAATTAATTCATTGATATTCTTCAATTTATTATTCTAAATAATTGGTAGTAAATACTTCATACGTCTCAAATTATAAAATTTTTTTAAATAAAATCTTATATACTAATAAAATTTATTAAATATATTTAACAACCTTATTTTTTAAAAATAAAAATATAAATATTTCAAAAATATTTATCATTTAATATATTAAAAAAATATGAAAATTAATTATAAAGAAAAAAAAGTAATATTAAAATAAGTACATTTAATGAAATATTAATTTATTTAAAGTATTTTCTATTTTAAAAGAAAATTTTTTTTAAAGTGTTTTATAATTTAAAATAAAATAATAAATTTTTAATATAGAATTGGGTCTAGTAAGAGAAACTAAGCCTCCATAGAATCATGAATGAAATTCAAATTGGGAAAGGTGGCTTGCACCCATATCTAATTACTACCTAACCGTGACTCTCGAAACCCATCACAGTATTATAAATGCTTCAGTCTCTCCAAAAAAAAAAAAAATTACTCATCCGCTAAATATAGCTGCCCTAGCAATAATACTCCAACAGTTTCAGCTGCCCAGAAACTCAAGGAAAGAGATCATGGAAGGCAATACAGGAAATGGAAAGGTGGTGTGCGCGACTGGTGCTTCTGGTTTTGTTGCTTCATGGCTCGTCAAGCTTCTTCTTCTTCGTGGTTACACTGTGAAGGGCACAGTTCGTGATCCAGGTTAGTTTCTTCAAATATCCTTCACTTGCCTTCTTCATCACTCCATGTGCGTGTGTGTAATATTATACTGTCACAGGCACTGTTCGTGACCGATGTGAGTTTTTTGAGATTGTTGTGTTCAAAATATAAAAGAATACACAATCATTAATCCCTATAATTCCATGAGGTTTTGCTTTTCATCCCTGTAGTTTTTTTTTTGGCTAGTGTTTTCAACAATATAGTTTCAGCAAGATTAGAAGACCTTTACTTTTTAAGTCTCAAATAATATTAAATTACAAGAATTATAAAAACTAAAAACAAATCACTGAAACTAAAAATAAAACCTAATAAAACTATAAGGATGAATAATTATCAGTTTTTTTAACTAGTTTAATAAAATACTTTAGTTATAACTAAATCATAATTCAATTACAGTTTTGACTATTAATCCTTAAATTGCAATGATTCAGTTCTTAGCACCTTGGTTAATACATCATTTAAGAACTGTGTGAATCTATGTATATACATGTAATATAAATTATTTGCAGCGTGACTGGTGCAGATGATTGGAGCAAGACAGAGCACTTGATGAGGCTGGAAGGAGCAAAGGAGAGATTGAAGCTTCTGAAAGCAAATTTATTGGAAGAAGGTTCCTTTGACTCTGCTGTCGAGGGCTGTCATGGTGTTTTCCACACTGCATCTCCTGTACTTTCTGTTTCTCGTGTCGAAGTCGATCCTCAGGTTGTTCATATCATTGATCTGAAGCGTCATTTACAATAATAAATTTAAAGAAATTAAAGAGCGCAAATCCGATCGATGCTAATGTGGCACTCTTGATTATTTCAGACTGCATATATTGATCCAGCAGTCAAAGGAACTATGAATGTTCTTAAATCATGCACAAAATTATCATCGGTTAAACGAGTTGTTTTGACGTCTTCTGTAGCTGCTGTTTTCTATAATGCAAGACCTAGAACTCCTGGAGTTGTAGTTGACGAGACATGGTTTTCAGATCCAGATATCTGTAAGGAAAATGAGGTATGTGAAAATCTGATGTATGTCATCATATTTGCCCCTAATTTATTGCACATAAATTAAGAATTCCAATTACCAACTATCTTATTGGCACTAATGAGGGGTTGGTAACTCATTAATTTTGTTTAAAATTAGAATAAATTTTTAATCTTATCTCTATTTAAATGAAAATTTATAAAGTTACAATACATTCTTTCTCCTAATTAATAAATTTAAATGAGAGTAATATTTGAAAAATATATTTAATATCCCATTAAATTGCTTATTTTGAGTACCCTCTAATAGGAACTAGAGGGAGTACTTTAATTTTGCTGATAAAATAGGAAAAGTATCATTAAATAGTACTTTTTTGGTTCTAATTTATAAAATATTTTTTTGACAAAATTATGCATACAAATAAAATTTATTTAAAAAATTTTACAATTTTATTTTTTTAAATTTAAATATAAACTTTTAAAAATACTTTTTATTTAATATAACACTAACATTAAATAGAGAGAGATAGGGTATAATAAGGAGAGATGGTAATAATGGAATAAGTATAATTGAAAAAATCTTATTTTTATCAAAGTAACTTATATTTTAAAATATCAAATCTCCTTAAAAATGTTTTATAAATTGGGATAGTAGATAGAATATTTCAAAAGTGCAAAATCATACTCTCTCCATTCTCAAAAATGTAAGGCATTTTTGAAAGAGTTGGATGTTAAAAATATAAGACATTTTTAATATTTTGAGGTGTAATTGTTATTTTTTTTAAAAAATGTCCCTATTGATAATGACTTTATATTTATTATAGGGTGTTTAATAGGGATAAATATGAAAAAATAAGATTAGTTGGAAAGTAAATAACTATTTTATTGGGGGTGAGATTTAATTAAAAATGTCTTATATTTTTAAATTGAGAGAGTAAATAACATGAAATGATTCTTTCTTCTAGAAAGACAAATATTTTGAAACGAATGGAGTAATTTGTTAACTATACTCCATTCCTTTAGTATTACAGGACTTTTTTTAATATTATGTTAAAAAATATAAGAAATTTATAATTTTTAAAGATGTAATTAATAATGTTTTATCATTAAAAAAAATCTATTAAATAACAGTAAACATGTAAAGAGTGTAATTAAAAAAAATTAACCAACTCATTGAAACTTTGAGAATGTAGTGATTTGGTTAAAAGTGTTTTATAATTCTGAACAGCGAAATTGTATAAAAATGATATTCTTTTATAATTGAAAAAAATAATAAATAAATCCCTCTAAAATAAAAAAATAACAATTTGCTCCTAAGAAAAGTGACAATGCCTTCAATGTCCTAATAAACCTAATTATTATTAAAGTTTTTGATGAAAGAACAAAAAAAATACTCCCTAATTTAAAAATGTGCAACAAAATTTTTTTTTTTTCGTTCACCATTTCAATTTTAACATTCACAATTCTAATTGAATAAATGATTAAAGTGATTTAGACATTTACAACCTTTTTTTATCATTTTTCTTCAATTAGCAAAGTGGAATAAAGTTTTTTTATTCACAACTTTAATTTTGAAATTCATAACTTTGGTTCAGTAAATAATTAAAGTGGTTTAAACATTTGTAACTTTTTCTTTACCATCTTTCTTCAAGCAGCAAAATGCAACAAGGCTTTTTTTTTTGCAATTTTAATTTTATAATTTACAAATCTAGTCCAATAAGTAATTAAAATGATTTTGGCATTCACAATTTTCTCTTTCAATTTTTTTTCACTTTTTTTTAATCTATCGTGGTGTCTTGAAAAACGTAGGACTTTTCTCCACTTTCTTAAATTTCCTTATTAAAATTTTGTTCTTTTCAGGAATGGTCAGGATATGTACTTTCCAAAACTTTGGCAGAAGAAGCAGCTTGGACATTTGCAAAAGAGAACAACATTGACCTTGTTACTATCAATCCGGCTGCTGTGGTTGGGCCTTTCTTGCAGCCAACGCTTCAAGCAACTGCTAATTTAATTTTAATTCTGTTAAATGGTAATTTTAATCTTTTTTTTTTGCAATCAATTTAATTTGATTTTAATCTATTTACCTACTGCACTTAAGAGAGTGTTAGAGTGATGATGATGGGTTATTGCTTCCATTTCCAATATAAGTCATTTTTAACTCAAATAAAACAATAAAAAAAATTATTTAGTTAGATTTTTTTTTTTCCGACTATACTCTAATATCACCGATCATTACTTATTTGTTATTTGTTGATAGAAAGGTCAGTAATGTTGACATGCTTCTAGGGAAAGTTTAGGTAAAAGGTTATTAATTACTCTTAGAATTTTATAAAGTACTTTATATATATATATATATATATATATATTAAAACTTAGAATTTGATATAACATTGCCCCTTATTTGAAATGGTACAGAGAAAAATGACTTATGAGGACAATTATATTGTCTCCACAAGACTAGAAAAAATTACGCATAATAACTATAAATATTTGAATTGCCCTCCTAAAAGAGTTTCAATTGCTCTCTCTCTCTCTCTCTCTCTCTCTCTCTCTCTCTCTTAAAAGAAAATTTTCAATTTTTCTCAAAAGGTCTGCTTATCACCCTAAAAAATTTGTTTAACTCAAATCTTGTCTATATGTTATAATCTTTAAATAAATGGAGGGTGTAATAATTAAAAATAATAATTTTTTGAATTTTAAACATTTTAAAAAATAATTAATACTATAATCATGACTTTTTCTCTCCTGGCGTGATGTATGTAGGTGCAAAGACATTTCCAAATAGTACTTTTGGATGGATCAATGTGAAAGATGCTGCAAATGCCCATATTCAAGCATTTGAAATTCCTTCTGCTAGTGGAAGATATTGTCTGGCTGAGAGAGTTGCATACTATTCAGATGTTGTGAAGATTTTACATGAGTTATATCCAACTTTGCAACTTCCTGAAAAGTATTCAATTATTTGTTTCTATTAACACATTTTCTCTATTTTTGTGAATCACATTCATATTTAATTTGATCACTCGCCTGTTTAAATCTAGCCATATATCTATATGAAGTTCAAGTGTTTTTTTAAATGATGAAATAATTGCCAATTTTATTTCTTAATTTCTCTATAAACTTAAATTAGGTGTGCAGATGACAAACTATTGATGCCAATATATCAGATTTCAAAAGAAAAGGCAAAGACATTGGGAATTGAGTTCATTCCACTTGAAGTGAGCCTCAAAGAGATAGTGGAAAGCCTTAAAGAAAAGAAATTTATTGAATTCTGAACTGTGATCAAGTTGAGTCCAGTTATCTTTGTTGGATAAATATTGATTACCTTAATGATCATATGTCTTAAATTAAGTTTGTTGTCTTTGGTTTCATAAACTCAATCTCTATTGTAATAATTTAAAGCGTGCATGCTTTAGAGGACATTATTGTTATATTGCATCAAATATGTGTTCACATTCCTTTTTCTTTTTTTTTTTTAGTAATGCATTTGCATTCCTTGCTCATCACAATGACCAGCGTGGGTGCTCATTAGGCTTTTGCCAGAACTGAACCCTTCATTTCATCTTCAATTGATTTCTACCGCTCATTTTAAATTTATTTTTTTAGATATTTTAATATTATATAATTAAAATAAAAAATTTATAGAAAATATAAAAATTTTAATATTAAATCTAAGGGTAAGGGTTAAAAATAACCTTGAAGTATATACAAAGGGTCACAAATGACCATAAATTTAACTATAGATCATTTATATCCCTCAACTTTAAAAAATCATTGCTCTGTTATTCTGGCATTAACTTACCGTTATGTGGGTCTTGCATATGAATTTTTTAATATTTTTTATTATAAAATATTGCTTGTGGGCCCTATAATATTTTTTTAATGGGTTAAGGGTCAATTTTATCCTTGAAGTATACATAAAAGGTCACAAATAACCTTAAACTCAACTTAAAATTAATTTTATCCATCAACCGTTAAGATTTTTAAATCTATTATTTTGCTGTTTTCTCCGTTTATTTTTTCTATTAATGGGGCCCATTTTAAATTTTTTTAATATTTTTATTATAAAATATTTAAGTGAGTCTCACCAATTATTTTTTAAGTGGCTAAGAAATTTTAGGATTATTTGAATTTTTAGAGACAGATGGTTTGTTGATGAAAAATTGAATGCTAAAAAATTTTTGTGAGTGGTTTGGAAATAATGTGTAATTGGTGTTTTAATAAAATACTAATGAGGAGTTTTTAAAGTGTAAAGCTTTAGTTTTAAAGTTTCAAATTTATTATATGAAATTTTTAAGGTTTTAGGTTAAACGTCGATGAGTGAGAAAGCGAGCGAATGAGAACCTCTGGCGCTAACGCTGAAAGAAAGAGATGCTCTTGATCGGAGTAGGAAAAAGTATTGTGTAGGCGACGGTGTTTTCTCTAATCACCAGACGCTCGTCCCTAGAGAGGAGAACTGGATGACTGACGAGGGGGATCTCAGAGTGAACAATGAAGCCAGGAAGATAGGGAAGGCATCAGAGATTGGCTCCAGTGCTACAAAAACTGGGAAATCCTATAAACAGGCATGCAAGATTGGCACCGATGATATTTATGAAGAAGAAGATTGGTGGAGTAATGAGAGATGGAAATCCAGGATATCAGTGAAGATGACTTCACGTGGCCCGAATGTGATCATTCGGCCTCTGGAAAAAGAAAGGCTGGCAAAAAGGTAGGAGAGGTCTTTGATAGTTAACTTGCTGGGACGTATGATTAGCTCTGAGTATATGGAGAGAAAGCTTCCTGAAATGTGGGGAAGAAAAGGCGATGTTACTGTCATCGATGTAGGATTGGGGTTCTTTGTGGTGCAGTTTGAGTGTCCTGATGATTATGAACTAGTTTTAACTGGTGGTCATAGTTGCTTTTTGATCATTATCTTGCGGTGCAGCCATGGAAGGAAGACTTTGAACCAGAAGAAGAGAAGATAATAAAAATTGCTGCATGGATTCGGATAGCTGGTTTGCCTCTTGACTATTATGACAAGGGGATATTATACGTGTTGGGATCTCAAGTCGGACGAGTTTTGAAGATCGATATGACAACGTTGCGAAGAAAGAAAGGAAGATTTGTGAGAATCTGTGTGGAACTCAATCTGGGCTCATCGTTACGCCTTATCATTCTGGTGAATGGGAAAGAGAAGAAAGTTCAGTATGAGGGCATTCATTTAATATGCTTCAGTTGTGGTAAATATGGTCACGATGTAGACCATTGCCCAGAAAAAATGAAACAGAAAGCTGATACAGTGTATAAAGCTTAAGGAATGATGAATGAGACAGCCCAGAACTGTAGCTCGGTTGTACACGATGAGTCAAACTCGTCTTTGGCTGCTGATTCAGAAGTCCAGTATGATGATTGGATGCTGGTTCAAAGGAGCAGGAGATTCCGACGTGGTGGTAGACTGGAAGGACCAGCGATGGAGAATAGGCGTGAATCAGGGGGAAGATCGAATCTTGACGTTCGAAGATCTCGCTATTCGCCGTTAGAGATTAAGCGAGCTGATACGGTGGATAATTCGAGGAAAGTGGAGCAGATCATGCAGTTAAGGGATATTAACAGTATGAGGAATGACGTGGTAGGAGATATCAAATTAAATGAGCATAATAAAGGGCAGTTAGAGAGGAAGCAAATTAGGCCCAAAAAAGGAAGTCAGAACGAGAAGTTGATGACGCACGTGTCAATTGGTCCTAAACAGCATGAGCCCAACACTACTCGCATGGAAATTTTGAATAGGGCCAGAACGAGATTGGGCTTGGATAGACGGAAAGCAACACCAATAACACAAAACAGCAAGAGCAATTTAGTGCAAGAGGAGGATCAAATGGACCTGGTGAATTTCGATTCTGAGCATAGCACGGACGAAGTCGAGGAGGAAGTAGTCAAAGATGATATGAAGGTAGATGATAACCCTCTAGATCCTGGTTCAGACTACAATAATGATTTTTTATCCGATCAAATCCATTATCAAATGGCCAAAATGAAGAGGTGATGATTGATATGGAGGACAAGGAAGGCAGGCCAGTTCTGCATGTTTGATAGTGCTAGTGCTCTCTTTTTTTAACTATTATTTTTATGGATACTGGTTACAAAAATAATATTCTCTTTTGGAATGTACGTGGTGTTGGTAGTAGAAGCTTCCTAAGTCTACTATCAGAGTTATGTAAGAGGTATAAATTTGAGTTTTTAGCTCTTTTGAAAACAAGGCATGATAGTTCTAAAGCTCAAACTCTTGCAAGGAGGGTGGGGCTGATGAACTTTGAGTACGTTGAAGCGGCTGCGTATGGTGGCAGTATATGGTGTTTTTGGGGGGAGGATACAAAGTTTTAGGTCAAAGGAAAATATGAACAAGTTCTTCATGGATGTTTTAATGCGGGAACTAGTAATGAATGGGATCTTTCAATCATTTATGGCCATCCTTGTTATGCTAGAAGACGTTCTTTATGGCAAAGTCTTCATATGATAGAGGATAAGGGTGTGTGTAAATGGTGTATTGGGGGAGACTTTAATGCTACTTTGAAGGAGGATGAGAGGTTTTCTGTAATTTCAAACCCGGTCAAACCTGATCGCCTTTTCAAGGAGTGGGTTTTTGAAACAAGGGTCATTGACTTGGGATTCCAAGGATCTAAGTTTACTTGGAGTAATGGTAGAGCTAGGAGCAGACTAGACAAGGTACTCGTTAATGCAGGATGGTTTGAACATTTTCTAGATGCATTTGTAGTGCACTTACCTAAGGTGAAGTTGAATTATTGCCCTATTCTTTTGAATTTGTCCAGTGTCATGGTTGATAAAAGGAAGCAAAGGGATTTTCAGTTCTTTGCACTGTGGGTCACTCATGATGGATTCAAAAGTCTTGTAGAAAGCTCTTGGTGTGTGTGTCTCAGGACTGGAATATGAATGTGCAAAGATTTGTTTCTAATGTTTTGGATTAGAATAAAAATGTGTTCAGGGATCTTAACAAACAGAAAGCTGACTTACTATATCATAAGATGAGCCACCCGATAAATTCATCCACGTTAGAAGAGGAACGAGTTGTTTTATGGAATAAGTTGGAGAGTATACTGGTTCAGGAGGAGTTGATGTGGCCGCAAAGATCTAGATGCAATTGGTATTCATAAGGGGATAAAAATACTAGATACTTTCACACTATGACTAAATGTCGTAAGCGAAAGAAGCAAGTTAAAGCTCTTAAAGGTGATGATGGGGAGTGGATTTTATGATTGTGAAACTATCAGAAGGATGGGTACTGATTATTTTATAAGGTTGTATACTGAAGAGAGTACTAATCAAAATGATATTTTGGTTGGTAGAGGGTTTCTTAGTATTTCTTAATCCAGCTTGGAAATGTTGGGAAAGGATATTTCTATACAAGAAGTGAAGGATGCGTTGTTCGCTATAGGCTCTTTGAAAGCTCCAGGTCTAGATGGATTAAATCCTTTGTTCTACTAAGACCAATGGGATGTAGGCCCTTCTATAGTTAAGCTTGTTCAGCAAATTTTCCAAAACCTAATCTTGGTAAAGGAAATCAATGAAACTAATACTGTGCTCATACCAAAAATTGACAACCCTGAGATTATAAAGGATTTCAAAGCGATTAGTCTGTGCAATGTAGTGTATAAGATTGTCATAAAATCACTTGCTACCAGATTGAAGGAGATTATGCCTATAGTTGTGGTGCCTAATCAGTGCATTTTTGTACCAGTTAGATAGAGTATTGATAATGTCATTATTGCTCAAGAGATTATCCATTCTTTTAGGAAATGCAAAAGAAAGCATAGGTTCATGGCTTTAAAAATTGATCTAGAAAAAGCTTATGATAGAGTGCACTAGGATTTTGTGGTTAAATGCTTGGAGGAATTAAATATTCTGTCCAAGTTTGTGGCTCTAGTTTGGGAATGTATGTCTACTAGAAGGATTAGGTAAGACGACCTCCTTTGTTCGTACTTGTTCGTCTTAGGTATAGAGAAATTAGGCCATATGATACAACATGAAGTGGAGAACGAGAATTAGATGCTCTTTTAACTGAAGAGGCATGGTGTGCTAGTGTCTTACCTTTTCTTTACAAATGATTTGCTTCTATTTGCAGAAGCCACAATGGATCAAGCAGTTATGATAAAAGCCTGTTTAGATGATTTTTGCTATATATCTGGTGAAAAAGTGAATACTACTAAATCCAGAATTTTTTCTCTTCCAATGAGTAGTGCTTAAGCGAAGAACATTAGTGAGTTTATGGAATTTAATG